GAACTACATATCTCCTATATCAGCAGAATAAGAAAACCCTAACCCTGTAGCTTAAAGAAAGGATTTAGTTCAAACATTTCTGAAGGTTATCATGATTAACAAGCACCTGATGAAAGGTGGAAGATACAGTGGCCAAAATTTTGTCATAATAATAAAAAAAATGAGGACTAATCAAAATTCCATGAATTACATGGCAATGTTTAGTCTTAAAGTTTTATTTGCAAAGATTAAAAATAAATGGTAAATCTTTCAAACTATTTTGGAGACATTATTTTCAAAGCAGGATGTGTAAGTAATATCAAGTTTATCAGGAGAGAAAATGGAATTGGAAAGCTGAGATCAAGTTCCCTCCTTGTTCATTCACACTAATGACCTTGGGGAAGCAGGAATCTGTCTCTTTTGCCTCTGCCATTTATTTTTTTTAATATCTTTTCACTCCAAGCAAAACAATAATGCTTCTAGAATGCAGGTGCTTACAGGAAGTGAAATGGAATGAGAAGACTGAAAATGGAGATGACTGAGGAAAGGATAAAAAAGGAACAGGGTTCAAGAAGACAGAAGATTGTGATTTACATTGTATTTAAATTTTTGAAGATTGTAGTTATCAGTGAACCAATAAATTAGAATGGAATTCCACAGATGGAAAGTGTGAGAAAAAGATCTGTTAGAGCAGATCTGGTGGTTGCATCTAGCTAGTTCAACAGTAAAATTGTGAAACCTAGTTGCCAAACTAGTCAGTTGGTCAGTCACACGTGACACATGTGGTACACGTTTTGGGTGATTGTGCATCTTTACATGACAAACTAGGCAATTTTTTTCCTGCAGTAGGTTGCCATTACTTTCTGCAATAGACTGGTTGTCCAGTTTGCTATTCAACCCATAGCTGTGGGTATTTGTGTGTAAGTGAATAACAGATCCAATTGGAATTTAAACTCGACCACCACTCCCCAAATCTCTAATTTGGGCACCAGGGAAAAATCCCTCAGAGCAATTGCCACAAAAATATTTTTAGAAAAGATAAAGGAATGCTACGTCATGTTAACGAGAAAGTGACTGGAGATGAGATGCCTGATCAGGATTAATTACATTACAGAGCTTTCTCTGGATTTTATCAAGAATCTTGAGATGTACGGCAGGAGCACCAGACCAGATATGGCAACAGTATTCAATTCGTGGATGAACGGTAGATTTATAAATGTGCAAAAGGGATTCTGATGAGAAAAATTGTCTGGCACATCCCAGTGAATCAAATTTCTGAGCAGTAAATCTAGCAAGTGATTCAATATAATCACTCCACTTCATGTCAAATGTGTTCCTAAGAAGATACAAATGTTTGCCTTCCTGGAGGTTAGCACCAGCCTTGTTGATGGAAAGCAGAGAAGCATATCACAGATGAATGGTAGATTTATAAATGTGCAAGAATTTATAGAAAATATAAAATGAAGCCATACCAGGCCAGTGGGAAAGTGACTGAAGACAAGATACCAGGTCAGGACTGATAATATTACAGACCCTTTGTATTTTTCCTAATATATAAAGCAGAAGCACCAGACAAGAAATATTCAATTCACAGATGAATGGTAGATTTATAAATGTGCAAGATGGATTCTGGTGAGAAGAATTGTTTGGCATGCCACAGCAAACATATTTCCTTGCAGTAGACATAACAGTTGATTCAGTCAGTTCACTTCATGTCAGTGGAAAACATGAGTCCAAGAAGGTGTTCCCTAATTAACCTCTGATTGGAGTTCGCTTTCAAGAGCAGCTGCCAGGTTTACTTTGTTGGGTCTGTTGGATTGGCTACTAAGATAGGTGTAAATGGTTGTGACATCTACATAAATACCTACTTGGTAACTGATAACGTCAGAGAGATCATTAATGAAGATCAGAAAAAATGTAAGTCCAAGGATAGAGCCCCATATTAGCATGAAAGGATCTAGAAACATTCCTGTTCAACATGACCTTCATTACACGATTTGTTAAGAATGATTGGATTAAATCAAATATTTGTCCTATGTGACCAAAGAAAGCCATCATGCCAAACCTTGTTGAATGCCTTCAAGATATCTAGAGCTTTGCCATTCTTATCTAAAGCTTGATAAACAAATTCAGTGCTTGCTGTTAACATGTCAGTGGTAGACCTGATGAAACGGAAGCTATATGGTTTGTCTGAAAGGAGGTTGTGAGAAGTAAGATGCTTAACCAGTTCTGCATTTATTAGAGCATCAAGTACTTTGCCAAAAAGAGGTAAAAAAAACTAACAGGGTAATAATTTGAGGAGTCAGAGTGTTCCCTAGAGTTCTTAAAAACAGGAAATACAGAGAACGATTTTTCAACAAGATGTGGTTAAATAGCAAAGGAGACATGGTTCTATAGCTTTGGGTAGCAGCAAGTCTAGGAGAAGGATAACTCTGAATTCAAAACTATAGAGAAGGCAGTGGGAAAGTACTCCACTATCTTTCCCAAGTTATAACAATTCAGAAATAATAAAACAAAGGAATATGTCAAGAGCCATGAACATTGACATCCTGAAAGGTCATCAGTATTCATGGCTCTTCACAAATTCCAAGTCCTGAAGGGTCATGGCATTAATAAAATTAAAAAAAAAAACATTTATTTAGTGGTAGCTTAAATAATGTCTTATAGATATCAATATAAGCACAGCTTTTTACAATTGTCCTCTCAATTTCTCAACCATGCTTGATATTGCAGCTGACACGTATTTTATTTTTGTCAGAGTAATTTTCTCTTAACTTCATTTCTTTACAGAACTACAGCTGATCTGTTATTTACCCATAGCTGATAGGGAAAAAGGATTCATGCCTTTTTAAAACACATCAATGTGAAGTGGATATAAACAGGCTCAGCTAAAACTTGAACTGTTTCTGTTTCCAGAATAAAAGTTATATCATACATCTTCTTCAATATGAGGCTTTCTAAATTATATGAATTTTTTGGCAATGTTTAACCTTTGTGCTGGCCAAAAAAAAAAAAAATGTTTTGTCAAAAGAGCACCACTATTAAACTGATTTTTGATTCCCTCAGAAATGATTGTTTTAAAAAGCAATGATTAGCATTTTAATAAAACCCAAACATATGAAAGTGGATTTATGCTTTTTCTTTATTCTTGCAAACTGACAACAAAAATATGAAACACTATTTATATATTGGATTGCTTATTTACAGGAATTATTTTATATTTACAAGAATATCAAAATATGTGAACCAACTATAATGAAATATTTATTATTTACCATTTTACAAAGAAATAAATACATAAATAATTGTTTTTATTTGAAATTTATGAAAATGTCTGAAGAAGAAAATTTAAATAATGACGAATAACTGTAATTATAAATTTAAAAAAAAATGCATTTTCTGGAAATTTCTTTCATTTCTTTTAATCTTCTTGTATTTTTTTCTTTTGTTTTTTTCCTTTTTCTCAATTGTTTAAGCCACACTGACATCGCTAATGGAGTTGCTAAAGATTTCATCAAATCTGAGTGCAGTTGTTTATAAACAAGAAATTGTTTATTCAATCAACTGTACCTCTAATTTTATAAGGTTTCATGATTTTATAAGTATATTGTTTGTATGAATTAGATATTTGTTTTCAAGGATTCTTAAGCTTGTCAGAAATGGATGTTTGATAGAGTATTAACTATTAATTCGGTGAGGTTCATGTAAATTGTTTTTGGAGATTGGAGCTTTCTGGTTCATATTTTCGTCAAATTTAATCTTTGTTTTTTTTTTATTATTAAATATATATTGCCTGCCTGTATCTCTCTCTGCCCACCTGTATATCTGTCTGCATGTATCTCTATCCCTTTACCTGTCTCTCTCTCTCTCTCTGCCTGCCTGTCTACCTCTCTCACACTCTGCATGCCTACCTGTCTCTTTCTTTCTGCCTGCTTATCTCTCTTTCTCTGTCTGTCTGTCTATTTTTCATTGCCTGTCTCCTTCTCTCTGTCTACCCCTCTCTCTCTCTGCTTGCCTGTCTCCCTTTCTGCCAGCTTGTCTCTCTCTGCCTGCCAGCCTCTCACTCTCTCTCTATCTGCCAGTTGGTCCCTATCTCTTTCTGACAGTTTCTATCTCTCTACCTGTTTCCTTCTCTCTTTTTTTACCTCTCACTCTTCCTCTCTTTTTCTGCCAGCCTCTCTCACTCTCAGCTTGTCTGTCTGCCTACATCTCTGTCTCTCTTTCTCTCTGCCTACCTGTCTCTCTCTGTCTCTGCCCTCCTTCCCCTCTCTCTCTGTCACTGCTTGCCTCTCTCTTTCTGCCAGCCTGACTTTATGCCTACTTCTCTCAGTCTCTCTCTTTCTTGTTCTGCTTCCTCACTCTCTCTGTCTGTTGTTTTGTACTTCTTTTAATTTATTTATTTCTTTTATTTTTTGAAATGTCCTCCTCCTTCTTTGTCACTGCACTTGATCCAATCATGGATGTTAATCATATGAATATTATGCAGTAAAAATATCAGAAGAAAATTCAGTTAATATTTGTGTACTTGCAAAATCTCTATTGTATCTCTAGAATACCAAAAGTGTTTCACTTGAATTAAAGCCCAAATTTTCTTAGGCCATCAGGCTAATTTATAGACACAAATTTCAGCAATGTTGTTGACTAGCATCAACAAGAGGATGTCTTATATCAGCATCCAATTCCATGTAAGAAGCTAGCCTTTTGAATGCTGATGTTTTAAATCCAATCTTGAAAACTGGTGAAGTCATCTTTCTCAATCCTCTTATGATTCCATCATGAAAAAGCAGATCTTAAACTTAGCAAGAGCAATTTTGTGTGGATTTTTTTCATTCAGGACAAATCCACATATTTTGTTTGATTAGAACAAGATACAATGATGAATTTCTGACGATTGGTTTGGCTCACTGCAAACTGTTAGCAGATACTTTCACATAATATTGACTCTTTCAATTTTGAGCAAACTTGAGCACCATTAACTTGTCTGGACTCATGTACTTCAGTAATTATTTATCTTCTTTGGCTTATGGTCATATCATGTTGAAACACAGGTTCCCCTCTGATCACTGAAGTTAAGCAACGTTGAACCCTGTCAATACCCAGATGGTTGACCACTGGCAAATACCAGGTGCTCTAAGCTTGGATACTGGATAATGACTTGGAATGAGAAATTGGAGAGCTGAGTTTGAATTCCATTTATGTTTTTTACATTCATATATGTGCAAATACCCTTAGGAAAGGCATGAATACACCTCGTCTTCTCTTAAATAGAAAGGCTTGTATCAAAAAAATGATTATTATCTCCAAAAAATTCTTAAACTCCAAAAATGTTTGGGCTTTAAGTAACCTCAAGAAGGTTGATAGGCCATAAAAAGAAATCAATCAGTTCATTAATTATTCACTCTTCAATACAACAAGTAATGTCGTATGAAGAAGTGGATTTACCCATCATGCAGTTTTTCAGTTGCTTTCACACTTACACTGTAATATAATTAAGTACTCACAGCTGCAGTATTAGGGAGGTTGATTTTTCACTTTTTAAAGAAAATCTATTTTGCGCTCAGTACAAAAGCTGAGGTTTGATGTGCTAGGTACTGTTACCAAAATTTAGATTCATAGCTTTTACCAATTTTTGAGTATTTAATTTTAAATATTGTCTGAAAAATGTACAGAAATAACTAATTTCTGTAGGTTCTTGCTTACAAACGGACTTCAAAGTTTCAATATTTCAAGTATACACCCAAATAAAATTGCTATTTTTTATATTAGATACATTGAATGGAAAATATATTCAAACTAGAATTCTAATTACGAATCAGCACAAGCAAAATAAGCAATTTTTTAGTGTATTTGATAAGTAAAAACTGTAAAAGATTACAAAAAAGGTTACTCAATGAATAAGATTTGTTAGATCATAATTAATAAAAACAAAAATATATAAAAGTGTATATAAAACCATAATACTGCTGGGTACAAAATGTTTTAAATTTGGATTGTTTATTGAAAATCACACTAAAACTGTATAATATATTACATTTACTAAATTTTTCAGTTTAATTTCCCTTTGAAGCAAATGAAGGTCTTATTTGATGGCACATTGATTTTGTAATAATGTGCTTGTGCTTTGCTTGTAAAGTTTCTGTAAATTATAAATTTTATAAGATTGTGTTGTAAGGCTTTCACTGATCACCAGAATGAAATTCTAATCCTATAATTTTGAACCTAAACTAAATCTCTAAAATTGTTTCCATAAAAATGGTAACGATTTTGAAAAAAATATTTTGTATCATTATTTATCATGTCATACCCAAACTTTCAAATTGAGTGCAATACCACAGTTCCAAAATTGGCCTGCCCTACTGAAGTATTCAGCTAACTGGAATTATTTGATCCATATAATTGACAATGTTGCTTATCAAAAATTAATCACTATCTGCTAAGTCAATGTATTGGTCCCTTAATGCTTACCTGCTACCCACTACAGTTCTTTTTTATATTTTCATTGAGGTTTGCTCTAGTAGGTAATTTTCTGGCTCCACCCCATTTAGCTGTCTGGATAGGTTGGACCTAGCAGAAGAAAAACTTCTACCAGCATTGCTCTCCAGATCATAGGAGCATGTAAATCTATTCCACCACATCAAGGTACATAATAATGGAGTAGTGTCTGCTCTATATTCCTTTTGAACGGATAAAGATATTCAATGTGCAAGGGAATTTGTTTCTAACATGTGTTGAATAAAAAAAGTGATGACAGAATTATGAAAAAAAAAAAAGCCCCAAAATTAAATGCTTTTACCATCCTTCATATCTACAAATTCGTTCATGCATGGAATACTGTTGCCATATATTGTCTGGTGTTCCCACTGTTCATCTCAAGGTTCTCAATAAAATCCAAAGACTGATATACAATGTGATCGGTCCTGACATGGGATTTCAACTCCAGTCACTTTCTCACCGATGTATTGTGGCTTCCCTCTGTCTTTTCTATAAATATTTTCATGACATCTGCTCTGATGAGCTACTTCTACTGGTGTCCCAACTGCATGAATTTAAGCATCTCACTCCCACCCTTTTACAGTAGAAACAGTTAAATGTAACTACCTCTTCTACCATAACAGCGTCTTCTCTCACACTTCCCGACTGTGGAATTCCCTTCCTCTTACTTGCTTCCCGGATAACTATAATCTTCAAAAATTTAAATGTAATATCAATTGTCATCTTCTTTTACCTTGATCCCCCATTCTTCTTTTTATCCTTTCATCACTCCCCCAGACACAGTCTTTTCCCTTACTTACACTCTCTGTAGCCCCTTGTGTACTAGTGGCACTCCCACCTTGCTTGGGGTGAATTGCTTAAAAAAATAAATCTCATATGGCCAAGTCATTACTGTGTTAATGTACTGAAAATGTGACATGAGATTGGATATCATCATGATTAATTTGTCAGGGATGACTTGATGATATCATTCTGGAGATATGATCGCAGCATTTGGCACCTTTGAGAAGCACCTCAACACCGTACAACAGGTGACTAAAGTCTTATGAGTGAAGTTGTACAGCTGAAACTGTTCAGAAGCAACGTGCTAGCATAAAGTTACAAGTCCTCACCTAATTTGCAGATAGAAGCACTTTACCCTTTGTTGGCAATCACTCTAGAGAAGGTGTCTCAAAAAAAAAAAAAGCACCCATCCCCCAGCAGTATGGTGATTCAAAAGAATATATTGGCCTAAAGATGTAAAATGACTGAAATTAGAATAAAAATTAAGTCATGTCTGTGATTCTGCAAGTCTGTTGCTGATATACATAGCACAGCATGATGATCCATCTGCTAAATTTACTTTTTTTTTAGCAAGGTGATAATGCCACTAAGACACAAGAGGTTACTGGCAGTAGAAGTGAATAAGACTAGCGAGGAGAAAGGATAATAAAAGAACAGGTTTTAGGAATGCAGAAGATTGCTATTGATGTATTTAAATTTTTTAAGATTGTCAGTGGCGGGGAGGCAAGAAATCAGAAGAGAGTTCCACAAACAAGAAGTGTGAGAAAATAAACTATTAGAATAGAACTTAGAGTTACATTGAACCATTTCAACTGTAAAATAATGAGACCTAACTGCCAATCTAGTTGTTTGCTTAAGTTCACATGGTTTATGTACCAAGGTGGAAAGCTCATTAAACGATTGCCATGAAAATATTTATATAAAAGGCAACATTATGGCAATGGAAAAGTTACTGAAGTCGAGATGCCAGGTTATATGACAGATCCTTCATTGGATTTTTTAAGAAGCATGTGATATATAGCTGTAGCACCGGACAAGATATGTCAATGATATTCAAAGCATGGAAGTAATGGTAGATTTATAAATGTGCAAAATGGATTCAGGAGAGAAAAATTGTCTGGTATAATTAGAAACAAACTTTGATAGCAGCAGACTTAGCAATTGATTCAATATAATCACTCCACTTCCTGTTAGAGGAAAATGTGAAACCAAGAAGAGTCACAAAGTGTTGCTCTTCTGAAGATTAGCATCAGTCATGCTGGTGAAAGGCTAAAAAAATGATTCTCTGTGGTTATTATCCCAGTTGTCAACTGACTGAAGATCTTATTTGAGAGCAGCTGCTAGTTTTAATTTGTTGAACCTTTCAGTGGGAAACATTTTCTTTTTTGAACTATCTATTGGTGGAGAAGGGGATAAAATCTTATTTGGGGTTTAAAAACAGATTTTACAAGTATATATGAATACATAAAAATTATAAAAACAATTGGTTGGAGGAGCAAGGATAAGAAAAAAACAAAAAGAAATTACAAAGAAAGCACTAATTGGTTATTTCTCCTCGCTCTTCAGAGCCAAATGAGGACAAAAACATAAATGTGCCCAAATCTCTTGTATATTTTTTCAATCTTTTTTATTTTGTTGTGCACATATTTGTTTTTTTTCTCAGTTGATTCTGAGGAGTGAGGAGTAATAATCGGTTATCCACTTTTTTTGTTGATATATTTTTTCAATCCATCACCTTACGGTGAGTAATTCTTTTTTTCTATCCTTGCTTTTCTTCACCTTTGTTTTATATACCTTTATATATATTTATATATACTTTTAAAATGTCTTTCACCATTATGAAGCTCTACGGATCAAGTAAATTTAAATCATGCAATAAACTTAGCATAAAAAGCAGATTGCATAGGAGGGAGAGCAAGGATGAGAAAAATAAAGGAAAAAAATTACTTCCTGTAAAGTGGTGGATTGAAAAAATATATAACAACAAAATGAACTAACCGGTTCATTGCTCCTCACTCTTCAGAGCTCAATCAAAGACAAAAGCAAAAAATATGTGCATGGTGGCTACAAAAACTTTTTTCTTCCCACACAAGACACAGATTTTGTTATGACGTAGACAATAACATTATCCGCAAAAATAAAATACGTTCAAGAAATTGCGCGGTTCATTGGACACAATTAAAAGCGTGTGGTACTGAAATGATTACTTTCTACAAAATTAATTTCATCTGAATTCAAACTAAATTTGCATAGTGATAAAATTACATTACTAATACAAAGAAATCTATATATAGAACTAGGAAGAGTTTATTTTGTCTGTTCCCTATACACAGCTAAACCATTTAATATAGAGATTTTAAATTTAGTTACACAACCTAGGGGAAGGATTTAGCCTAAAAAAAAACGCTTTTAAAAATTGTTCCACATATGAGTGTGAGGCTGTCATTGACAGGGAATCTCTAACGATAAAGAAATGGTTGGCAGCCATGTTGCTTCATATGACTAATCATACAGAATTTAAATTTCCAAACTTTGAAAAGAAAAAAAAAATTGTTTTACTAAAATATTCACATTTATGATTTCAGCTTGTTTACAAGCTGCAGATGTAAAAATAATTACATATTATTATTATTTAATTAGAATTATCAATACAGGCAAAAAATGTTTAAATAGTTTCAAATAGGTTTGCAATTATATGCGTGTACAAATATTCATATTTAACCACTCATATCAATATTTCACAGATATAGACATATATGCATATATATGTATACACAAGATTTACTTTCACTGTATACGCAGACACACACATACACATCTTGTTTAAAATTTGCTATATTCATGTCAGAAGAGTG